TCCCAACGGGGGTTTCAGCTTTGACTCTGAAGTGGATAGTTGTGCCCGTCCCAAGGAGCAAAGGGAGCCATGTTCATGGAGATATGGCAGAGACAAAAGGGCGGAATTAATCTGGAAGGTTTGCCAGGGACGGACGTCATTTTGGAGCTGTTGTGTTTGGGAACAGACCCCAGATTCCCCAGATCAGGAAATCAACTCCAAAGGAAAGTTGAAAGTGCTTTGACTGAGATTGACTATGACGAGAGAATCTTGCAAATCTTGATTGTGCCGTTCCGGCTCCTTGCAGTTCAGAGAGTTAGGATTTGAGCTGCTTCCAGGCGTTCTTCTTCACTTGCAAATGCTTCCTCTCCTTTTGCCTTTTGTCAGGGCTCCTGCATCTCTCCGTCCAGGTCGCCTTCCTGGCTCCCTTACCCCTCAGTGCCCCCCACCCTCCTTCCTTCATTACAGGTAATCTCCCACTTATGACCACCTTGAAAAAGCTAAGCTGAGTTAGAACTAGAATACTAATGGGATGGGAGACCACCAGGGAATCACGGAGTTCAGAATAATAACCCAGAAGAAGGTGGTGACAAATCCTGTTGCCAGGAAAACAGCATCAGGAGTTGCTCTTCAAAAAGCTTTCTCCAGTTTCCCCCCCCCCCCCCCGTCGCTTTCCAGTGGATTGGCCCAAAGGTATTTCTGCATTGTGTTGATGTTGATGTTGCTAACCAAGTTTTTTTCCATCCTCCCTCTTGCACCGAATGCCTTTATCCTATTTCCTTCTTCCTTATTATTGCTATCGTTTTCATTTCCCCATTCCACTCTGCTATTTCTCTCTCTCTCTCTTTTCTTTCTGGCTAAGGGCAGGAGTGGGAAGTCCCGGGTCTAAATGTTATCTTTTCAAAAGCAAGGAAGCAACCCGTTTTTCGGTCTTAGTGGGACTGGCCTACTTTTAATGGGGCAAGGTTAGTAACGCAGTTACACAAAAGTAGGTCAAAAAAGCAAAGCCCTTTTGATCGAAATTCCTCCAGGGGTAGTCCACCTTGGCTCTTTTATGACTCGTGGACTTCAACTCCCAGAATTCCTGAGCCAGCTGTGCTGGCTCAGGAATTCTGGGAGTTGAAGTCCACGAGTCATAAAAGAGCCAAGGCTCAGGAATTCTGGGAGTTGAAGTCCACAAGTCATAAAAGAGCCAAGCTGGACTATCCCTGGCTAGACTTAGCCTACCTTGCTTAGAATTGTGATGTCCATACTGTTCTCCCTCTCATTTGCGGCAAAGGAGGAATTGGAAAACAGAAGTATTAAGTGTATTTGTGCAGGCAGTTGAACATTATTTCAAGATTCAGGATTGGATTTTTTTTTTTTTCACTTCTTTACTCCCATCTTTGGGTACTGCATTAGTGCCAAGAAGCATTTACCAGCTGCAAAAGCAATTTATGAAAATCGTGATATTGAAGATCACTACAGTATCTAGGCTGCAGAAATCCAGGTGAGTATTAAGCACCTTCCAAATGCTGGTGTGTTTCATTGATTGCAAGAAGTCCATGACGTAAGACGGTAACAATCCCGCCATTTTACAACTTTTTCTATGGTGGTCGTGAAGAAAACATCATGGTGGTTAAAGTTAACCTATTCTACCCTACTCAGTTGATTTTTCTGACAAAGACAGATGAGAGAACTATTGTTGAAAGAACAACAGTGTCCACAGTGAATAAAAGAGGGTCAGGTCCAGAATCAGTTTGTGGATCGGTGGGTTCAACTATAATACTGACTTTTAGGTTTTTTTTTCTTCCAAATGTAACATAAGCTATTTATAACTTTGTAAGTAATGTAGTGATGTGTTGGAAAAACTGTAATCTTCAGGACACGTTTTCTTATTTTCACCTTAGTAATTGTAATTTATCCCCTATTTTTATATGCCTTTCATCTTTCACGGTTTATAATTGAGCCCAAAATTTCTGTTGCTAAGTGAAACATTTGTTAAGTGAATTTTGCTCCACTTTATGACCTTTCTGGCCTCCATTGTTAAGTGAATCACTGCACTGGGTAAGTTAGTAACCTGGTTGTTAAGTGAATCTGGTTCCCCATTGACTTTCTTGTCAGAAGGTCGCTGAAGTGATCACGTGACCCCGGGACACGGCAACCGTCATAAATGTGAGTCAGTTGCCAAGCGCTTGAATTTTGATCACGTGGCCCTGGGGAGGCTGCAACGGTTGTAAGTGTGAAAAATAGTCGTAAATCACTTTTTTCAGGGCCGTTGTAAACTTCGAACAATTCTGAGAACTTGCAATTCTGAGCATCAAAAAAAACAAAAACAAAACCCCTTAACCAAAACATTGAAATGCAATGCATTTTTAAAAATAATTTCCTAGCCCTCATGGTGTTGAATAAAAGACAAGCCTGGCATTGTAGATCCGAATGCTTGGAAACAACAAAGCACCAACAACCACATCTCTATTTCTACGGGAAGGCAGTCTAGGGCTTTCAAATGCCAGGCCCCCAAAACAGCCCATTTTCTTTTATTTCAGCCTTCTGTTCCGAAAGGCCCCCGTGGCTTTCCTTTCTCGTTCGATTTCAAAAGCTGGCGTGTTTTTGCCAAGATTGTGTGGCTCCACAAGGGTTTGTAGGCTATAATTAGCATCCCCCTCCCCCCATTGGTTGTGATGTGCAGGATTTATCCCCACACATATTTGATGTGTGTGTGTGTGTGTGTTTACTTTCCCATCCAATCTCTCCTTTCTGCCACCCACTTGTTCAAATGTTTTGAAACATCTCAGCTCTTCTTTCTTTCTTTCTTTCTTTCTTTCTTTCTTTCTTTCTTTCTTTCTTTCTTTCTTTCTTTCTTTCTTTCTTTTTTCCTTCCTTCCTCCCTCCCTCCCTCCCTCCCTTTTTTCTTTTCTTTCTCCCTTCTGCGCTGGTTTTGCAACATGTCCCAAGGAAGGAGGAGAAATTCGGAATGAGTAAATCCTGTTTGCAACCCAACCTTTCCCTCTTTTAATTGTAGCCCGTGAGCTGTAGTTTTGGTCCTGTTGAAATAAAATGAAACGGGAGCGACACAACGCAGTGTGCATTTCAAGACGGTGGTTCTGCTGCACAGGAAAAAGGGGGAAGATTTAATGGCACAGCTGTGGTTGCCATGTTTACTTTTTTGACCACCAGCCCCTCCCCACGGATACCTTTTCTTTACACTTTCAATCTTTGCCTGATCTGGTAGTTAGAAGAAGATATGCAAGCTCAGACTAGCCTACATCCTCAATCTATTCATATCTGAGAAATTATTTTGGGTTTTTTTTGCCTGAGGCGTGGCAGATTGAATGGGAAGGGAAGAAATGAAGAACTGAGGGACATCAATCTCCAAAATACTGTAAGCTTTAAATTTTAACAGGCTCCTGTTCAGCTTTTCAGTTCATGAAAAGACTTGAGGAAGGATTATGGCAATACTGTAGTTGCTTTCACCTGGAAAAACGGAGCCTTTCCAGGACGAATAACTGCAGGAGAACCAAATTCTTGCAGAGTGTTTTATACAGTCCTTTCACCAGGTTTGCAACCAAACAGAAGAATTTGCCACTTTGGCACAAGGATGACAATGGTTGACTGAAAAAGTACGGAAGCGTCTTGCAAACCCCGTGTTGGATGTCGCTGAGGTTCCCCAGTTGCTTGGTGTCAGGGTGCAGGGTATCCATTTGCAGCAAATTCATAATGGAGCATGAGAAAAGACCAAAAACTACAATAACTTCAGGTAGCATATACAGATACCTTACCACCAATAGCGCACACATCCATTTATCTTGCATATTTGTTAGAACAGTGGTTCTCAACCTTTTTAATGCCGCGACCCCCCAACCGGTTGTAAGTCGAGGACTACTCAACTGGTGCAGCACCGTTTGCAGAATGGGGCTTTTGGCGGGCTCAGCAGGGCAGAGACAGCCTGGACCATTCCTATTTGCTTTGGAAAGCCAATAGAATTAGACTCTATTCAAGAGAGTCTATTCTATTGGCTTTCAAAAGCCAATAGAATAAAAACGAGTAGCACAGCTAAGGAAAAGGGGGAAAAAATGGCGGACTGCGTTGTTTGGCGACCCCCGTGAAATGCTCGTTCGACCCCAAATGGGGTCCCGACCCACAGGTGGAGAACCACTATGTTAGAAGATGCTAAAAAAAAAAGGAAAAGAGTTTATTCCAACTACTTGTTTCTACATCCATGTTGATCTCTTGTTTCTGAGTTGTTTGTCATTGCTGCCTTCTGCCACTCCCCAGTCTAGTCTAAATTTTGGGATTTCCTTGTGGTCTCCTCTTCAAGAGCTGATCGGTCTTGGGGGTCTCCTCCATGAGTCTCTCTTCTCATTTGGTGGCCAAAAGAGCTGAACTTCAGCACCAGCCTCTGACCTTCCAAAGGACGGTCACGGTTGATTTGAGTCAGGGTCTGATCCGGTTGTAGCCGTGTGCTCATTTGAAGGACCTCAGCAGTTCTTCAGTAGGTGCCATCGCTCCCTCTTGAAACACACACTCATTTTAAGCCCATTTGTAACGAGCAAAGTTCAGCCTTTTGATTTATTTTACTTCAAAGAGGAAAAAGGAAATGCAATTTTGTGCTTGTCTCCTTACAGGGAGGTTTTGCAGAGAGAGAAAGAGAACGAAGTGCAATCTTCTGTATTCTCAGCAATCCATCTTCCGTTGCATGATGTCATTTCAGGGCTTCAGTTGTTGCCCTTTGTCTCTGTAGTTTTTTAAAAAGAAACTTTTCAGCTATTGGGGAATCTCGCTGGAGAGAGAGAGAGAGAGTGTGTTTGAGATTGAGTAGCAAAATGGAGCAGCTTAACAGTATCTATGTTGGGGTCAGTGTCAGAAGACAGGGATAGCTCGGATCCATGAGGTCTAGCTTCCCTAACTTCAGGCACATACCTGCATGCTCTTCAAATGGTCGTTCACCCATTACACCTCACAGCCGTGCATCCCGCCAGCCTCCCCCAAGGGATTGTAAGTGTCTTGTTGCTGACACCCTTTTGTTGGTTTCTCTGCAGGCTTGCAGCCCGTCTACTGGAGCAGAGAGGACGTGGCCCATTGGCTAAAGTGGGCGGAGAAGGAGTTCTCCCTCAGGCCCATTGACAGCAACACCTTTGAGATGAACGGCAAGGCTCTGTTGCTACTAACCAAAGAGGACTTCCGATACAGGTCTCCACATTCTGGTAAGCGATTTAAAAAACTCATTAAAGAAGGAGAACTCTTACTGCATTAGTGGGCAACAACGCAAAATCTGTTAGAGATTAGATGTCGGGCAGAATCAACGCCTGCAATATTTTTAATTCAACTTTATTGCATTGACCCCAGGGATGCTGCAGTGGTTCTGGGTGTAAAAAGCCGTCATAAATCACTTTTTTTCAGTACCATTGTAACTCCCATCAAATGGTTATAAGTCAAGGACTACCTGTACATCAAAGAAGCAGTTCCTTGTTGTATCACAACGCACGTCCTTCTTTTGCCACGAGCAGCCCTCCTTGCAGGTTGTCTACTTTGTCCCTCCGTGGGCTTTACACTGGTGTGAACCCAGGTACTCTAGCCAAGCCACGGATCTGGGGCTTAAACATACAGGAGCTCCTTGACTTACGACCGTTTGTTCGAAGTTACAGTAGCACTGGAAAAAAAATGAGCGACCAAAAATAGACTTATGACCATTTTTCACACTTACAACCATTGCAGCGTCGCCATGCTCAGGTGATTAAAATTCAGACACTTGGCAACTGACTTGTATTTATGACGGTTGTGTCCGGAGATCCCCTTTATGTGACCTTCAGTGGGGAAGACAGATTCACTTAACAACCATATTACTAACTTTAACAACTGCCGTGATTCAGTTAACAGCCGTGTCAAGAAAGGTTGTAAAACGGGGCAAAACTCACTTAAGAGCTGTCTCGCTTAGCAACGGACATTTTGGGCTCAATTGTCATAAGTCGACCATCTGTGAATGCTTTTCTGCAGCTCAGGCACGAGGCAGAGTTTTGTGCCTTGGAAGGAAGGGACTGTGGACTTTTCTTGTGTTTTATTATCCTAGGCCAGGGGTAGGCAACCTTGGCTCTTTTATGATTTGTGGACTTCAACTCCCAGAATTCCTGAGCCAGCCACGCTGAGGGGAAAGGGAGAGGTTTCCAAGCTGAGCCCTGCTGGCTCAGGAATTCTGGGAGTTGAAGTCCACGAGTCATAAAAGAGCCAAGGTTGCCTACCCCTGGCCTAGGAGCTGGGCAGTATCAGAATGACTGCAGATAAATATGTGAATAAATGTGACCCGCCTTCCTATCTTTAGGGACCTCAAGTGTCTTTCCCAAATTCGCTTTCCTGACTTGGCTTTTTCTTTCCTTCCAGGCGACGTGTTGTATGAGCTTCTTCAGCACATCTTGAAGCAAAGGAATTCCCACATGTTGTTTTCTCCTTTCTTTCACCCTGGGAATTCTGTCCACGCTCCGCCAGATGTCATGCTGCATCAGAATCACGATGAAGGTAACGGCAGGATCTCTTTGTTGATGAGGAGCACAGTTGCACAAGCAGTTCAGGTGATGCTATGGGAAGAAAGAGGACAGCTGGGGGGGCGGGGGGAAGCACACACACACACTAAAGGAGTACGTTTGCAACTCAGGGGCCCTTAGAACTGTCTGAGCTTGGTTGTTTTCTTGCAGATGTTTCCTTACCCAGCTAGGTAACATCATCAGTGTATGGAGTATGGATTGTGTGTGTGTGGTTTCCTATATAGATCACTCCTATAGCTGTGGTTTATGAATCCTGAATATGTTTGTAAAATTAGAACTGTATTTTCAAACCTGGCAACTTTAAGTTGTGGGAACTTCATCTCCCAGAATTCCCCTGGCAGCATATTGGCTGAGGAATTCTGGGAGTTAAAGTCCGCAGATCTTAAAAGTTGCCAGGCTTGAAAACCACTTGGGTTAGGACATTCGTGATTGCCAGCTGCTTGGTGGGGGTAGGGGACAGGTGGATTGCTGTCAAGTCCTGAAATTTTTGGTTAACTTTTATGGAAGACATTAATAAAAATTGATGAGAGTCCAGTCAAGGTTTGTGCCTGGGGCTTTGGCGTGCATAAATACAAAAGGGCAGAGTTTGGCGTTGGGTGAAAAACACATGGGCCCGTTGAGTTTTTAAAGAATCGGGGTTTGGCAATGTTGGGAAACCCTCAGCCAGGTAGAAAGGAGGGGTCAAATGGGGAACCAGCCTTGAATCCTTGGGCAGCCACAAGAGACACAGGGCTGGCCCTGCCTCAATTCCTTGAATCCTTATCTGTCTGTTCCCAGGGGAAGGAAAACAGTCTGGGGAGATTTTTGAATTATAGGAGAAACACACTAAAGCAGGGGTCTTCAAACTTGGCCCTTAATAATAATAATAATAATAATAATAATAATAATAATAATAATAATCCCCCAGTGAGGCACTACCTTGACGTGGTTGTGGGGCTTGTGTACTCTGAGGAAGATGAGAGCTATGCCAGAGGTTCAACCATACTGGACAGGTCTCATCAGAGGAGTCAGACAAAGAGTGTCTCTCCCATAAAAAATATGGTGAGACGTAAATTTCAGAATGCCATACCGGCTCGGATGTCGCCCGGGTTAACAAGGTCCGCTAGATATTGGAGTTCCTGGATATCTGGTGAAAAATGGGTTACAGGACTCAGGACTGTTGGCTGAGCAACCAGGGCCAGCAGCTGCAGAACTACTGGAAGAAAAGGTGTTTACCCGTCGCAGATACACAGTGATGGAAAACAAAGAAATAATGATCTGTTACTACAGATCAAGTCCAACAAGAAGAGGATATCTAAAACGAATGCACCAGTTCTGGAAAGAACAACATCCAGAATCAGAAATAACAGAACAGAGACTAGCAGATCAACGCCGATTTATAACACGAAATAAAGTATTTACAGAAACAGAATTGGACGAACTGCAAAGGTTTACCCAGGGCAAAGAAATCAAAGCCTTACAAGAAGTAATTCAGAATGTAGAGGCAAACCAGGGGGAGTTGGCAGTGAAAGAATCCAGTAGAGATATACAACTGTTCTCATTTGGAAACCAGGCACCTCTTCCTCAGGAAGAACAAAACCCTCTAACTAAAGAAATAAAAGAATTGAAACAAAGAATAACTGAGCATCTAGAACAGCACAAAAACAACAGAATAAGGCTGCCTGCATTGAAGCTTGTTCCAAAGAAACAGCTAGCACAAGCATTAAAAGATGCAAATACTGCAATAGCAAGTATAAGCACCAATTCACTGCAAGAAACAAACCAACTAATGTACAGCACAGCTGCAGTTATAACTGAATACCTGGGATGCAAAATCAACAAAGAAGAAAAACAAACAAACAGTGCACCAGAAAAATGGAAGGTTAGACTAGAAAATAAGATCAGCAAGTTAAGATCACATGCAAGCAAGCTAGAACAGATGAAAGAAAAGAAGCTGAAGAACAAGAAGACCAAAGAATACCTAATCAAGAAATACCACTTAGAAACAAGGAAGATCAAGGAAGCACTGGAAATAATAAAGCAACAAATAACAGCTATAGCCAGGAAAATCAGTAGATATGAAGCTCGAATTGCAAACTATAGGCAGAACCTCCAATTTCAATCCAATCAGAAACGTTTCTACCAATCCATCAATGGAGAAACTGCAAGGAATCAGTCAGTACCTGACAAGGAAGAAACAGTGCAATTCTGGAAGCAGATATGGGATAACCCAAAGAAATACAACAAGGATGCGGCTTGGTTAAAAGAGGTGGATGCAAATAAAACAGAAGTTGAAATGAAAGAACTAGTAATAACAACAAAAATGGTAGAAAAAAGAGCAAAGAAAATCAAAAATTGGTCAGCACCAGGTGAAGATGAACTGCATGGGTTTTGGTTGAAACATCTAACTGTTATACACCCACTCATTGCCAAGCAGTTCAACAATATACTACAAGGAGGAGAAATTGAAAAGTGGCTAACAACTGGGAAAACCTACCTAATAATGAAAAATCCAGCAAAAGGGGCAACACCAGGTAACTACAGGCCAATTACCTGCTTACCAACAACTTTCAAATTACTAACTGGTGTAGTAGCTGATGCAGTACAACAGCATCTAGTTGAAAACAATCTCTTTCCACCTGAGCAGAAAGGAAACCGCCCCAATAGCAGAGGAACAAAAGATCAACTCCTAATAGACAAAATGATCTTGGAAAACTGCAAGAGAAGGAAGACCAACCTGAATGTGGCATGGATTGACTACAAAAAGGCATTTGACTCTCTGCCACATGATTGGATAATAAAGTGCCTAGAAATAACAGGAGTCAGTAGAAACATCAGAAAATTTGTGCAAAGATCGATGGCACAATGGAAGACACAGTTGCAGATCAATGGTGAGAAGCTGGGAGAGGTTAATATCAAGAGAGGAATATTTCAAGGAGATTCATTATCACCATTACTATTTGTTATTGCACTGTTTCCTCTGTCAACAATACTGAATAACTCAGGACATGGCTATCAAACATCAAAAACATCTGCCAGACTATCCCACCTCCTTTACATGGATGATCTGAAGCTGTATGGAAAAACATCATCTGAAATAGAATCGCTGCTCAACACTGTCCGTATATATAGCCAAGATATTGTAATGGAGTTTGGCTTGGACAAATGTGCCACACTTACTATCAAACAAGGAAAAATAGTGAAAACTGAAGGAATCAAGATGCCCCACGAAAATAACATTAAGAGTCTGGATGAGGAAGAGTACTACAAATACTTGGGTATCCTTCAAGCTGACAACATCAAGCACACTGAAGTCAAGAAAAAGATTAGAGGTGAATACATCAAGAGAGTGAAGAAGATCTTAAAGTCCAAACTCAATGGAGGAAATACCATAAAGGCAATCAACACCTGGGCAATCCCAGTCATTAGGTACACAGCTGGAATAGTGGACTGGACTCAAGCAGAACTAAAAGCAATGGATAGGCAGACCAGAAAAATAATGACAATGAATCATGCCCTTCATCCACGCAGTGACATTGATAGACTTTATCTACCAAGGCAAATAGGTGGGCGTGGAATGCTACAAGTACATCAGATGGTTGAAGAAGAAAAAATGGCTTTGGAAGAATATCTGAAGAACAATGATGAAGATGCACTGAAATTAGTATATCAGGAAGGCTTACTAACTACTGGAGAGACCAAACTGGCCTACAAGAAAGACCAAATGAAGAACAGAATAGAGGCATGGGAAGACAAAGCACTACATGGCCAATACATGAAAAAAATAGCTGGGAAAGCAGATAATAATAAAACCTGGCAATGGCTAAGAGCAGGAAAATTGAAGAAAGAGACCGAGGGACTAATTCTGGCTGCACAAGACCAAGCCTTAAGGACAAATGCATACAAAGTCAAAATTGAGAAGACAGCAACAGACAGTAAGTGCCGCCTATGCAAAGAAGCTGAAGAAACAGTGGACCACTTGGTAAGCTGTTGCAAGAAGATTGCACAGACTGATTACAAGCAGCGGCATGACAAAGTAGCAACAATGGTGCATTGGAAGATCTGCAAAAAATATCATTTGCCTGTAAGCAAAAACTGGTGGGATCATAAAATAGAGAAAGTCATAGAAAATGATAAAATTAAACTGCTCTGGGACTTCAGAATTCAAACAGACAAGCACCTGCAACATAACACCCCAGACTTAACAATTGTCGATAAGAAAGACAAAAAAGTCTGGATAGTGGACGTGGCAGTGCCTGGAGACAGCAGAATAGAAGAGAAAGAACTGGAGAAGATAACAAAATACAAAGACCTACAAATAGAAATAGAAAGACTGTGGCAAAAGCAAGCAAGGGTAGTACCAATAGTAATAGGCTCCTTGGGTGCAATCCCAAAACAACTGGAGCACCACTTGAACACCATTGGCATTGACAAATTCGCTATTAGTCAATTGCAAAAGGCGGCCTTATTAGGAACTGCTTCCATCCTGCGACGATATCTGTAATACCATCAAACATCCACATCTGCCTATCCCAGGTCCTGGGTAAGGACTCGATAGGTAGACAAAATGCCAAATCCAGTCTGAACATCTGGCTGACTGTGCGATGATCCATAATAATAATAATAATAATAATAATAATAATAATAATAATAATAATAATAATAATAATAATAGTGAAGTTGGAAGGGACCTTGGAGGTCATCTAGTCCAACCCTCTGCTCAGGCAGGAAACCCTACACCATTTCAGACAAATGGCTTTCCAGTCTCTTCTTAAAAACTTCCAGTGTTGGAGCATTTACTGCTTCTGGAGGCAGGTGGTTCCACTGGTTAATTGTTCTAACTGTCAGGAAGTTTCTCCTTAGTTCTGAGGTTGCTTCTCTCCTTGATTAGTTTCCATCCGTTGCTTCTTGTCCTGCCTTCAGGCGCTTTGGAAAATAGCTTGATTCCCTCTTCTTTATGGCAGCCCCTGAGATACTGGAACCCTGCTATCATGTCCCCCCCTTGTCCTTCTCTTCGTTAAACTAGACATACCCAATTCTAGCAACCGTTCCTTTGATGACTAGTGGACTTCAACTCCCAGAATGCCTCAACCAGGCATGCGTGGCTGGCTGGGGAATTCTGGGAGTTGAAGTCCACACGTCTGAAAGTGGCCAGGGTTTAGGTCTGATTTAGATGCTAATGCAACGTCGGAATCCAGAATCTGGTTTTTCAGCAGCCTGGATTGGCTCTGCTCCCCACACACCGCCTCAACCTGGTGGCACAGCCGGGCCCAGAATGCCGCCTCGGTCACCATCTCTCTCTCCCCTCTCCAAACATTCTTCCCTGGCCGCAGACAAGGGCACGGCTTGGCACCCGTCTTTCTCTTCCTTGTGCCCGTTTGGGGAAGACTGACCTAAATCGCGAAACAAAGAGAGACTTTTCTTGTTTATGACTTTGGCTGTGTGAATCATAAAGTCCACACCGGGGCCGTTTCCTCTCCAGCTTCAGCCAGGAAACGGGTGGGTGCCGTCTTTGGACAGGAGCAGCAGCGTCTGAGGGGGCTGGAGTCAGGCGAAGGTCAGCACGGGCGCTGGAGGAATCCGAGCCGGATGTGACCCCTGGGGTCTTTGGCAAAGGACCTCCTGGGATTGCAAGGGGGGGGGAGATCTGAAAGGCCACTTGGGGCTTTGTAAATCTTTCAAACTGTCCCAGGGCAAGCCAGGAGAGAAAAGGGAAAAGCAGAAAGGGACAGGTTTAGGGGCTGGAAGTAATTACCATTCCACTAAATTCAAAAATTTACATGGGTGCATAAAGGGCCTGCCTTGGCTTGGTAAAAGAGTGCAACTTTTTCCCCCCTGCAATAGCAACACATGGGGTCTTTTCCCAGTTTTTCCACATCCCATATTGGGGGATGCTGTGACCTCCTTGAGTATATATGTATATATTAATTCTTTAACTCTTTGTCAGCAAAAAGAAATCTGAATTTGTAATGTATCGCAGTGGTGACTTAAGCCTGCTTAACGCCCCTAGTTGGGGGGCTGCAAGGCAAAAGTGATGATAAAAAAAAAGTAGAATTGCAGTATAGCAGTCAAAATGCCAAGGCGCAATCAATCAGACCGGTCTGTCTGGAAAACTTTCTCTGTGTGTGTGTATTTATTTCAATTGATTCTTCTTCCAGAAAGTTTTACGGAACAAAATCGCTGAAAGTAAAAAGGAAATAAAGTGAAAAGAAAAGGTGAGAAGTAGAGAAAGGGGAAAAAAAGAAAGATAAAAAATAAAGAAATTATTTCCAGTCTTCTTTTGAGTAGCAATAAATGAGTTTCAATTTTATCCTCTCTCTTTAAGATTGCACAATTACTCTCTCCTTTCCATAATCTACCCTTGGTCATCATCAGACTCATAAATCACAAGTATATTTTTCCTGTAATCAGCAAAAAGAAAGAAAGCCCACAAAGGGTTTCCAGTCACTAACAAATATTGTTATTGTCTTTTCTCTAATTAAACGAGTCAATTTTGCAAATTCTGTCACCTTCATCAACCATTCCTCTGCTGTGGGTATTTCAGAGTCTGTCCATTTTTTGTGCCTAGAGTGCAGTAATAAAATCCATTCCCGTTATTCCATCGGGAATGACTAGAGACCACAAAAAGCATTTAGGAAAGCAGTGGATGAAAATGTGATCAACTCTTATATGCTAATATAGTTTATACCTTCTTCAACCTGTTTCGTTGCCTCTATTTGGATAATAGTTCTTAAGACTCCCCGAGAGCCTTGTGGACTGAGATTATAGTCAGGACTTTCCCAGTTGAAAAGAATGTCTCTGTAGCTCGGGGTTGAACTGTGAACCTGGTTGCTTGCAGATGTTTCATTACTCAACTTGACAACAGCACCGCCCTGAGTGACTCTGAGGTTTTGCCTCCTGTTTAAATGGGGTAGCTTGCCCTGCCTCCGTAGTTCCTTGATTAGAATATTACTTTCAGCTTGACTTTTTGTCTAGTATTAATCCCTGCTTATCTGAATGTGGGCTGCTGGAGTGGATATATTCTAGTCTTTTTGTTTCCTCCCAAGGTTTTTTTTTATTTTATTTTATTTTTTGGCTGGTATGTAAGTATAGTTCAGTGTTTCTCAACCTTGACAATTTTAAGGCATGTGGACTTCAACTCCCAGAATTCCACAGCCAGCAATGCTGGCTGTGGAATTCTGGGAGTTGAAGTCCACATGCCTTAAAATTGTCAAGGTTGAGAAACACTGGTATAGTTTATCTAAGTCTAGGGGTTTATTGATGGCTGATTTGTTGGAAAGATCAGCTTCTGGGAATTGCCTAACATTTTTGGATTTGGCTTGCTGTAAGATACTAATAGTTTCCCTGGTGAAACCGTGGTTTAGTCTGTCCGTGTGTTGTGAGATGAAGGAGTGCTCACCATACCTTCTGAGAGCTGGTTGCTCTTTGTGGATGCACAAACCCTAAACCAGGGGTAGGCAACCTTGGCTCTTTTATGACTCGTGGACTTCAACTTCCAGAATGGCTCAGGAATTCTGGGAGTTGAAGTCCATGAGTCATAAAAGAGCCAGGGTTGCCTACCCCTGACCTAAACCCTAATAATTTTTACAGAATAGACAACCATTTTTGACAGGGTTTAGAAGTATTTGTGTATATGTTTGTGTGTGTGTGTTACATATTATACACGTAGGGTTCATTCAGACTTTCACATGCAGGCTGGCAGCAAGCATAATTCTATCCCAGACTTTTCCAAACCTTTTCCCACACCAGAGATCAAACTTGAGATTGCTGTTACTTAAGTTAAAATGTGTTTTATTTAAGTATTTCATCTCAGCCCTACAGGCTGCATGCCGGCTGCAAGGGTGGATATAGTTTTATTGGCCTACTGGATAGCTTCTGCTTTTTTTCCTTATCTTCATTTGTTTCACAGACAACTTTATCTCAAGAGCTTCGAGACACTCAGCAGACGCAGTCCATCACAACCCGCCTACCATCGAACTCTTGCACCGCTCCAGATCCCCCCTCAGCGCCAACCACAGGCCTTCACCGGAGTCTGAGCAGCGGTCCCTGAAGTCCCCCCTGGAGAACACTATCCGTCGCCTCTCGCCGGCTGACCGGCTCTTGGGCACGCGGCAACACCAGGAGAACAACCACCACGAGTCTTACCCTCTCTCGGTTTCTCCGACCGAGAGCAACCACTGCCCGACCCCTTCGGAGGTGCCTCAGAAGGCTTCCAGTCCTCGCCAGGAAAACACCAGGGTCATCCAGTTGATGCCCAGCCCAATAATGCACCCTTTGATACTGAATCCCCGGCACTCTGTGGACTTCAAAGCTTCGAGGTTGTCTGAAGATGGGCTGCACAGGGAGGTGAAGCCCATCAACTTGTCCCACCGTGAAGAGCTAGCCTTCATGAACCACATCATGGTGTCCGTCTCGCCCCCTGAAGAGCATGCAATGCCAATTGGGAGAATCGCAGGTCAGTACCCTAGATTCCCAATCGACGTCGTCTTTTTAGAACGGGAGGGGAACGGTGGCCCCTTTTCCTAAAACAGCCACCATTTCCAAAGCTCTGTAGGCAAATTAGAAGTAATATGGTCCACAGGCATTTGCAGTAGATGTGACAGGCCTGGAGTGGAAGTGAAAAACAAGTCAGCAATCTCAGACACTCATTCACACACTTTCACGATTGTCTTTATTGGGATCATCTGGCATGTAAACGGTCTGGGGAGCAGAGAAACTGGTGGGGGGGGGGGAAAGCTGGCTCACAGTCCAGATAATAAAAAGAGCTGTTTGCCCAATACAAAGGAAGGCTGGGTAGTGTAGAGGGCTGACTGGGTAATTCTGGGAGTTAAAATCTACGTGTCTTAAAGTTGCTGAGGTTGAGAAACAGTCCACTAGGCCAGGGAGTGGTGGATTTAACCCAGTGGTTCTCCACCTGTGGGTCGGGACCCCATTTGGGGTCGAACGACCATTTCACGGGGGTCGCCAAACAACGCAGTCCGCCATTTTCTTTTTCTCTTTTCCTTAGCTGTGCTACTGCCTTTTATTCTATTGGCTTTGGAAAGCCAATAGAAGAGACTCTCTTGAATAGAGTCTAATTCTATTGGCTTTCAAAAGCCAATAGGAATTGTCCAGGCTGTCTCTGCCCTGCTGAGCCCGCCAAAAGTCCCATTCTGCAAACGGCGCTGCACCAGTTGAGTGGTCCTCGACTTACGACCGGTCAAGTAGCCCTCGACTTACGACCGGTTGGGGGTCGCGGCATTAAAAAGGTTGAGAACCACTGATTTAACCCAAGAAGAACGAAGAACTGGGAATATCAACCTGTCGCTCTCAAAACCTGGGCAGGGTCTCCCTTCCATCCACTACATCTCAGCAGGCCGTCTCACCAACGGCTGTGCTCATCTGGGACCCAAAATGATCGGAAGTAGAGTTCAGGTTGATGCTTCCTCAGCTTTATGGAGAAGTTGGGAGCCAGACTTTGCGAGAAACGTCCCAGGTCTCTCCGGAGCCGGAGGAAAAAAAGTCAAGATGGCTCAGGGCTCCCATCAGGTGGTTGCAACCCCCCGTCTTGGCTTGTGTCCCTTGTCCCCACTGACAACGCAACCTCTGAGCCCTCCAGGCCATTTGGCTAATGACTTCTTGTTACCACTCCCAGGACCTCTCTCTCCGATCAAAAGAAAGATGGCGGACATCGGGGAAATTTTGAAGCAAAGCAAGTGGCAACTGGTGCAAAACCCCAAAGCCCACGAGAAGGTTTTTACATCAGGAGTCACTGTTAAAAATCTGGGTTCCCCTCAGTTGATTTTTTTTTTTTAGGTGAATTCGACACAGCAAATTAGCCCGTAAGCCATTGGGAGGCAACTCATAGTCAACAGTAAAAGACCGTTAACCCTTGAGATACAGATTGAGATACAGATTCCATGCAGGGAATGAGAAGAAGACTCTCAGCCTCAAAGGAGGGTGGGATCCTCCTTTGAAAAAGAGGCCAGGTGGTGGCTTCTGGAGATGTGCTCGTTCCTTCAGTTTATTTATGAGACTTTATTTATTTATTTATGAGACTTATATACCGCTTTAAGTGCAAGCACTCTCTAAGTGGTGTACACCAGTAAGCAATGTATGTATATATTTACATTGCCCCCAACAATCTGGGTCCTCATTTTACCTACCTCGGAAGGATGGAAGGCTGAGTCAACCTTGAGCCGGTGAGATTTGAACCGCTGACCTGCTGAACACAGTCAGCTAAAGTGGCCTGCAGTACTGCACTCTAACTGCTGCGCCACCTCGGCTCATTAGACCAGTTTCAGGTTAAATGTCACGTTCTCTCTACGCAGTTTGTGGATGTGTAGGGAGCGAAAAGCAGCTGGGGACACCGTGTTGCGTGGCCTCCTCGCTTCATCAGAAATGGAGCATGCCTTTTCTGCCTGTAGAACGGACGCCTGCTGGAAATGGGCAGAGCGCGAGGCTTCCTCCATAGCTGCGCGTTCCCCTCTATGTCTCTGCAGACGCCGTTCTCAGATCTGCGACCGTGGAGATCAGGAGTGGTCACAAAAGTCAAGCCGGGGGGGGGGGCACACCTGCACAGTTGAAACCACACTGCACATTAAGCAAAAGGGAAAGTTCGTTTGAGCACGGCTGCCACCTTGTCTTTTTCCACACCCCCTCCCCCCCCAGGTACCCCGGAAATGTGGCCGCCATCTTTACTTTCCCAATTAATTATTTTTAATGAATCAGCATGATGAGGTCAGTTCAAAAAAGAGCAAGGGAAGATGGAAGCTCTGTATGTAAATGAATTGGAGCGAGGAATAACTTGCTACTCCTTGCAAGAAGGAGAGAAGCCCTTTTAATGTAATTTTACCTCCCACTTTGCCCAACAAATGAATTAAAGCAGCCTTACAAAAATAAACAAAGTCAACTCTTAACTTTCATCACCTTTGATTAAAATTAGACCTTGCAACGGAGAGCTTCCTGCCCTTAATCAGAGGGCTCCAGGAAACCGGTACCTGTCCCAGTGAACCTGGATAGACAGGAATTTGCTGTATATGTTGGATGGGCTCCCTGGAAAATACGTCTCTGGTTCCAGGATAGGCCAGTTTAGAAGTTGGCTTGATTGCCAAACCTACATTGGGAGTTGCACAACTGCATCAGAGGATGGCGCTGGCCCTTTAGCCTTGCACAGGATCCGTAAGGCACTGCTGAAGATCAGAAGGCTTAGATCTGATGCAGATGAGGCTATGGATGTGTGTGTGTGTGAGAGAGAGAGAGGGGGGGGGGCGCAGCTGGGCAAATGGGAGGAACTGCTTTCCATTCACCACATTCTGTTGATTTATTTGTATCCTACCTTTTTAGGCAGTCCTTGACTTAACAACCATAATTGAGCCCCAAATTTCTGTTGCTAAGTGAGTTTATTTATTAAGTGAGTTTTGCCCCTTTTTATGACCTTTCTTGCCACGGTTGTTAAGCGAATCCCAGCAGTTGCTACGTTAGTAACCCGGTTGTTAAGTGAGTCTGGCTTCCCCATTGACTTTGCTTGTCAGAAGGTCACAAAAGGTGTTCACACAACTCTGTCGTAAATAGGAGTCAGTTGCCAAGCGTCTGGATTTTGATCACATGACCATGAGGATGTTGCAACGGTCGAAAGTGTGAAAAATGGTCTAAGTCACCCACAGTCTGTGTAGTTTGCATAGTAGCAGTGCCTGTTGGAGTAGCAACCCGTTGATAGATTCCTCAGGGTTTTTGCATCAGGCTGAAAAGAAATAAAAAATAAAATAAGCAACCACTAGATGGAGATAGAGAAATCGCCTACTCTTTGCTGCCCTCTAGCGGTCACCCAAATTTGTTCAGCCCAGATATGGTAGCCCTATTTTAACATGGCAAACCAGAGGAGAACCGATGGCCAGCAACGAAGCCAAATGGCTGGGAAGAGAGTTTTGGGTACCGAAGCCAAGACTTCCTTATTTGACCCTGTTCTGATCTAGAGGCCCTCAAATCCAAGTTTGCACCACCAACGTGGCGCTTTGCCCTTGAAAGACGGCAGAAGCAACCAAACCTAAAGGCGCTGTTTGAAATACAGTTTGATTTTTTCCAAATCAAAATGTTAACTGTTGCTTTCATTGAGCCAGAACGAGTAGAGCACTCTTGAGCCTCCAGCACTATGCACAGGGAAGCAGTCACGCAATCACAAACCCTGGACACTGGGGAACTTGGATTATCCCGAGTGACCTTTGCCTTCAGAATGACAAATTGTCTCTTTTTATTTAGAGCGGATAAGTGCAAAAGCAGGTGGCAGAATTAGCTGCTGGCAAACTTCTCTGATAGCCAAAATAGCCCTTCTCCTTTTTCCTGCTCCTAAAGCCGGGTGTGGGTGTGCGTGTGGGTGTGTCCAGACTTTGAAATTGGGAAGTCAGCTGGTTCCATACGAGACGTGCAAGGGGACACTCACGGAGGGAATAGGGACCCCGAACTCCATTTTCTAAAGCCCGGGGTCCTTGACCAGAACGGGGGGGGGGGATGCAGGCAATTCGTTAACAAGGGGCTCTTCAGTTGCACGGGGGGGTAGTAGAAGTTGGGGGAAGTCTTTACAGGCAGTCCTCGACTTACAACAGTTCATTTAGTGACCGTTCAAAGTTACACGATGCTTGAAAAAAGGGACTCGGGACCATTTTCCACACTTAGGACCGCTGCAGCCTCCCCAGGGTCAAGTGATCACATTTTTGTGATCTTCTGACAAGCAAAATCAACGGGGGGGGGGGAGACAGACTCACTTAGCAATCGTGGGATCCAGTTAACATCACAACTGCTTCACTTAGCGGTGGAAATGTTGGCCTCGGTTGCGTCATAAGTCAAGGACTGCCTGCCCTCTCCATGGGGAGCCATCCTCTGATCTTCTGCTTGTTTTCTTAGTCTCGTCACACGGCTGGCTAATAAGACAGTTTTTGCGTTCCCAGTTTTTCTTCTGGCTCTTTTTTTTTCCCAACTGGAAAGTATTCCCGGGGACGCCAGTATTTGCTGCCAAGTGGGGTGGTTTCTTTTATCCGCTAAGAAGGAAACTAGAAGATTGCTTCAGGTCCCACCACAGGAGAGCAGAAGTAAAGTTATTTCGCGTCTTTTATTCTCTTTGTAATTTGTAAAACCCTCTCGAGAGGTTTGTGTGGAGGAGTTCTGTTTTCCGTTGAGCCTAACTATAATAAGCAGGACAGGGCGGAACTGGACCGGAATTGGCAACAGGAAAAGGGAAGGAAATACAATTCTTGCTTCTCCATCTGCTTTTTTGTTTTGTTTTTTAAACATATAACAACACATGCAAACTGCCATTTCTCTTTAACAATGAAGGAAAAATATAAAAGTAGCTTGGGAAAGAAGATGGAGGAAAAGAACAGGAAAGAATTTTCCAGAATCCCTGGATTTATTTCTACAGCTAAATAGTATTTTAGGAGAGTGTTTCTCAAATCTGGCAACTTTAAGATATATGGCCTTCAGTTCTCAGAATTCCCCAGCCAGCCTGCTAATCTGGTCTAGGTAATTTACTGGCTTTTTTGGAATATATATTAGGATAAAAATTCAGTCCGGCTATCAAGAGTGTAATACCTCCAGAATAATTGCTCTGTTTTTAATGTTTTTATAGAAATGCAAGTGTTAGATACAGGCATGTGGAAAATTGCTAAATTCGTATTAGGTTTATGGTGCATGACTCTGCTAATCTATGCTTCCATTCCGATGCCACAACATCTTAGACCAATGGTGGCGAACCTATGGCACGGGTGCCACAGGTGGCACTCAGAGCCCTCTCTATGGCCACACGCACCATCGCCCCAGTCCTATGCTATCAGCTGGGTTTTATAAAACCTTTTAACTTTAGGCCTCGGCCACCGTGTACAAAAAAAAAGGTTCAATCAATCAGTCAAAAAAGATCTTGCAAAGTTGGAATTGATGGATTTAACTTTTTAGTCCCACCCAGTCTGCCGTTACCACCACAGCCACGCCCACCCAATGGGCCACACCCACCCAGCACCCGACGATGCATAAGTGGGTTTTGGGTTGCAGTTTGGGCACTCGGTCTTTAAAAGGTTCGCCATCATTGTCTTAGACAGAAGAGCTGGCTGAATCCTGGAATATTATGGCAGTAGCCAAAGATCACTATGTCATTATTGTCTGGGTCATCAACCAAAAAGTTGAGATTCAAAAGTTATATACGTGGTTATGTATATAGACAGAGTGTGAGATGTTCTGAATGAGCAATTATTCTGGAGCCATGACACCGTTCCATCTCTTGACAGTTAGACTGAATTTTTATCCTCTTCTTTATGCCAGTTCTCCAACCAAAGGCCAGTGAATTATCTAGACCAGATTGTAGCTAGATACAAAAGGGTAGGTGTCATATTAGGTCCCACTGCAGGTTTCCGTCTTCTTTGTTCATCACCCACCCATCAAACTGTCCAGATGAGAACTCTGCATGTTGTATTCGAATGCTGACTATTGCTGAGAATGGAAGGGGGGGATGGGCTCTTCAATACACTTGGAGACTGTCAGGTTGAAGAAGGCCAGTCTGGATGGACTTCATCCTTGAAGGTGTGGAACATCTTAGCTGGGCCTCCAACACACTGAGGTTCTTCATGAAAGGTCTTCCTCTCTTTGCCAGATCTTGCAGAGTGCCGCTTTGTGGCACCACAGAAGGGCACCTTCTCTGTGGGGACACCCACCTTCTCTGTGGGGACACCCCCTCTTCATTTTTGGAAAGACCTACCATCTGCAGTTGACCTTGCCCAACATTCCCGTGTTTTGAGTTTCCTCTTAAAAAGCTTCTTTTTCTCTTGGCACGTCTCAGCTCTTGATGCCTCCTGGCACCTGCCTTTATCATGGATTGGTTTTAGTCTAAACTGCTGCTTTATAATTAGTGTCAATTGCTTTGGGATCCTTTGCCAGGAGAAATAGTATCTCAATACTTCATGCAAAAAAATAGTAACGTGTATGACGGTTCCTGGAGGTGAGTCAGTGGTGGCCAATTAACTAATTCATTTCCGGCAGGAACCTTTTGAAGACATTTCCGCTGTTCTCTTTCCAGACTGCAGACTCCTTTGGGATTACGTCTATCAGCTGCTCTCCGACAGCCGGTACGAAAATTTCATCCGATGGGAGGACAGAGAATCCAAAATATTTCGGATAGTGGACCCCAATGGGCTGGCTCGGCTATGGGGAAACCATAAGGTATGAGGGATCCACGAGGGAGGGGGCTATCTGGCAGAGATTGTGAATTAAATGGTTGGGGAGGCATGGAGAAAGAATAAAAACGATTTTGCTTAAAAAAAAAAAGGATTAGATGCAGACCAAAGGAGAAATTCTGTAATTTTCTGTAAATCATCATGATATCTGTTAGTTTGTTTGTAAAATTTATTGGCTACCCATTTTATCACAAGGTAATTCTGGCTGGCTTACAATCTTAAAAAGATAACAACTGTACAAAAACTAAGAGGTACAAATAAAATATTGTGAAGATCCAAATTCTGCAGTCCAATTAAAAGATGGGCAGGGAGGAGGTGAGATCTGTTGTTAATCTATCAGTCACTCCCAATGTGAAGCCCCCTCCCCCCCCTTGGGGCTCCAGGCCAGCTGGCCTGTTCAGGTCAGTTGGAGCCAGCCCCTCTCTGGGGAAGGGTAGAGAAGGCCGGGACCTGGGCCCTGCCAGACACAACACCCTGGCCAGCACGGCCCACCATGTGCCTCCCCTGCCGGCAGAGGCAAGGTAGGCTAATAAATAGATAAATAAGGATAAAAATACTGCTTTAGAAAAGAAGAGGTGTGTATTTACCAAATCATCTTCCAGGGCAGCCCCATTGAGAGTGCATTACAGTAGTCCAACTGCTTACCTATTTAGGATAAACAAAAGGGGGGGAATTCTTAAGAATCGAGCCTCCACAATCGCCTAGGTTGATTTATTAGTTTCCTCCAAGTTGGAGACCAGTGTTTCTCAACCTTGACAATTTTAAGGCATGTGGACTTCAACTCCCAGAACTCCACAGCCAGCATTGCTGGCTGTGGAATTCTGGGAGTTGAAGTCCACATGCCTTAAAATTGTCAAGGTTGAGAAACACTGTTGTAGACTGTACGATTTCTGGACTCAATATTTTTATCTAGCATGACATAAGAGAAGACCACAAGGACAAGGGAGGCAGGGGATGTGAACGGGAGTTTAGCCAGCCCTTCTTTCCTTATCATTTTAGTAACTTGTTTTAATTCTGGCTTTCTTTGTCTTAAATGGAACAGAACCGAACGAACATGACCTATGAGAAAATGTCTCGTGCCCTGCGCCACTACTACAAACTGAATATTATCAGAAAGGAGCCAGGACAAAGACTTTTGTTCAGGTAATTGTGAATTTTTTACCAGTCGTAAGTTAAGGGCTAAAAGATATACATCTCAATATGATAAATCATGGCTGGCTACTAATCTTCTATATGTATTCTAATGCCTTTGTCGTTAGCAATGCCAACTCAAAATTCTCCCCACCATTATAGGCCTGGTCGTTAGTGAAAGTTTGAAAATAGAGTTCCCCATTTTGATTGGTAAAATAATTAACAGTTTACCACAGTGGTTCTCAACCTTTCTAATGCCACGACCCCATAATACAGTTCCCCATGTTGTGGTGACCCCCAACCACTTATACATCACCGGGTGCCAGTGGCGTGGCCAAAGAAAAGGGGAAAAAAATGGTGGACAGCCTTGTTTGGCGACCCCCGTGAAATGGTCGTTCGACCCCAAATGGGGTCCCGACCCACAGGCTGAGAACCACTGGTTTACAATGTAGTGGCCACCAGAAATTGGCTGCAGTTCACAAAGGCTGTCGTGCAAAGTTCTCAGAAGTAGTGAAAGACGCCGATGCCAGTTTTTTTTTTTTAAAAAAAGAATTAAGCCCTGCAGCCTCCCTTACGCGCTGTTTGTTTCTGCAGATTCATGAAGACACCAGATGAAATTATGAGCGGCCGCACTGACCGCTTAGAACATCTGGAATCTCAGGAACTGGATGAGCAGATCTACCAGGAAGACGAGTGCTGAGGATCCGATCCACGTCCTTCACCGCAGTCCATGGAAGAACCGTCTCTGGAGATCCATCGGGATGGGGGAACGGGGCTCCGGACTTGGCATTGATCTGGGACCGGCAGGACCTGCAGGCACCCTAGGGAGGACAGAGATGGGCGGGGTGGGGTGGCAGCAACATTTGACCCAGAGAGGAGAGCGCAGCCCTTTCGCCCGGCTTGGAGGACCTGTCTCACCTCGGGCTTCGTTTTTGTTTTCGGTTGGTCAGTTTGGGATATATATATATATATACATATATATATTATATTTTTTTTCTAATTAACCTTGTCCAATTAATATTTGGGCTTTTTTTTTTTTTACTCCTTTTGTAGAGCAGAACGTCTGGGGGCTGCGTATTCTGAATGCTTTCCTATGGAAATTAGCACAACTCTGGGTCACTGCAGATTCTCACGGGCGCCTCTGTAGGGGGAAAAAAAATCTAGGGCCGGAGGGCAAGAGGCGTCGGAGAGAAGGCCCCCAGATGCCAAACTTGCTTGCAGGCGGCATCCATCGGCACCAGGATCAAAGAACGTGGACGGCAATCCGTGGTTTGGGGCGTGAGAAATACCAAAATTCCTTCCTGGAGGCAGAGGGGAAAGAGGGTGCCGTTATTCGGGGGGTGTTGGCTCCTCCAAGGACACGGACTGGATCCGGGCACCGGGACCCTGTCCAAGTGAGTAGGAGAAACTATTCCAGGAACCAGTAGAAGGCGGGAGATTTCTTCAGGATGGTCCAGCTCAAGAAAGGGTTAAGCGGAAACGACGCGGATGGGGTGGAATCGTTTGTGGAGGGTTCCTGAAGGCCTTTCAGTGGCAAGGCTGAAGAGCGTGTGGACTGTGAGGTGGTTTTCAGCCTTGGCTTCTTTTCTCTCCCTCTTGGGGTTGGGGCCAGCCAGCGGCCCCCGGTCTGGGAGGAGAAGAGTCGGTCCTCAAAGGAGAAGGAAAGGTTAGGATTTCCAAAAAAAGGGGGCTATAATTTTCCCAGGAGTGGCCTTCACAGCCCAGAGAGACGGAATTGAATCTCTGGGTTGATCTTCCTCTCATTCTCGTTGCTTCTGCTCTGTCCACGCGCGTGTACACACACACACACACACACACACGCACGCACCCTCTCTGAAGTTTTCTACTCATCTTCCTCATTTCTTAGGTGGATGTGAATATTGAAGACTATTTTTATTATGTTTCAGTGTTCTGGATTCTTGCAACAACGGATGAGCTGTGTAGCCTTAAGAGGAGATTTGTATGTGCCTTTTGTTGGTAGGAAGATTTCGTTCTGTGAAACTCCTTCTAGGTCGAAGTCATCCCTCTTTCTGAACCACAAATGAAGTTATTCCTCGTTGGGTTCAGAGATTCACACGTCACGACAAAATGCTGGCTCTATAAGATCGCTTGTTTTTTATAATCGCTGTGGGCAGCCATGTAACAGCCATGTAAATCCTACATGAAACAAGTCGAAATTCTACTCCACAGTAATTTAAACTGTGTCCGAAAAAGTAATGAACTGTATCAGTCGGTTCTTTGGGGCAAATGAAGTATATTTGCATCTGTTTTCTTTGTGTAACGTTGTCTGTTTCTCTGAGCTGAGGAGCACAGAGGCTTGTCCTGCATTTCGTTTTCACTTCCCATCAGCGGAGACCTGCTTCTTGTTTTGGAAATTTCATTGCGGCCTTTTAAGCCTATCTTCTGAACTGCTAAGGGCTAGAAGCTTACTTTTTTGAAAAGGAGAGGGTTATGTTTGAGGTTCTCAAGATGGTAAGTATGCGCAGTCCGAGACGCAGGTTAGATGACTTCTTGCCACTTTTTGCAGGACTATTCTTGAAAAAGAATCCGCAAGAGGGGCTTCCAGGAAGGGGTGTTAAAGACGGTGAGATTGTGGACAAATTGTGGGGTCAAAGCCTGCAGGTAAAAAGAGGATGGGGCTTCAACTCATGTTTACAGTAATCATCTTGATTCATGAGCACACATATGCAGGCACCCTGGCTAGCAAAATCCATTGCAAAAGGAAATTCACTCTTTATATATACCATTTAAAATGCAGCAAATGAAAATTTACAAACACAACACAAAGCAGAAAAAGGGTGTTGTCCCTTTCCTACAGCTGCTGCTTCTCCTTTCCCACCAAAGCTTCAAAATGACCAGCTCCATCTGTGTCAGCCTCTAAGTAGCCACCAAACGTTCACCCAAAAAATACGAAGCAGTCACGTCTGACCCAGTCCCGACGGAGTCATCATTGCTGCCAAAAGAAAAGCTACAATTTTGAAAAGGCAGAAATCTGAGAACAGGGTCATGTCTGATATATATATTGGGTTAGAGGATGAGTGTTTGAGTGGTGGTTTGTCCTTAACCCACACGGGCCGTCCAAATTGGACGCATCTGGCCGAAGCAATTTATGAAAATACGGTATCTTGGGGGGGGGGGAAGAGTCTGGATTACAATAGATATTAAAGTGTGAGATAAATTGAGACGGGAACAGCGTGTTTTCCATATTTGGGAACTGAATCACAGTATTTTTCCTTTGAAGCCGAAGTACACATTACAATTAATGCGTAACTTAGCTGCCCTTCAGAAGGGCAACGGTGGGTCTATTTGGTAAAAAAATAAAAAAAAATAGTCTTCCTGTTGTAACGTTTTGCATTTCCCTGTTGTGCCAGCAGCCCTCAGCTCTCTCTTAGCCAGGGTTAAAAGGAACAGAAAGTCTGCTACGTCAGTGTGAAGACTTTGGAAAAGAGCCCCGTGTAAAAATTCCCCCTGTGTGTCGAGAATTGCTGGCAGCTCAAGAGTTCGGAGGAGAACTAAGAGTGAAACTCTTACACTGTTTTCTGTTGAATTAGCTGCAGCCATATGCAAAGTCAAAAGGAAATTGTGCTGTCACGTTTTCTTTTTTTAAAAAGAAAAAAAATCTTTTTTTTTATTATTTTCTTAAGTAAATTATAATCTGTTGAAGATGGCGCTTCCTATTTTCTTTGAGGTGTGGGTTTAAGGGAGTGAACTGAATGAATGTAACAAAGCAAAACAAGAATGCCTTTACTCAGGGCCAGTGAGTTGCAAATAATTTTTAAATGCTTGTAATTACATCATCTCAATAAATTTTTTTAATATAAAAAAACAGATGCTGTTTTTCTTTAAATATGCCTCAGGCGGAAATTCAGCGTTGGTTTGTTTGTTTGTTTTTTCATTCTCTTCCTTCTAATGGACCTTTTAACCCAATGCATTGTTTGCATCAAGGAAGGTTTTATGCAAGGCGGGCTTCCCTGGAGACAAAGAGGGATGTGTAAATACAGAATGAAATATTACTTTAAAAAAGAACAATATACTGGGCTGTGTTAAATGGATCCGCAGAGAAACGAAACCGATAGTGCTGCTTCTATATATTCTCCTGGAGAGGGTGTGTGGGAAGGATTCGGAAGTCAAGGTGGCAAGTCCAGCCTCATGGTTTTTTTTTGTTTTAACCTGGGTCACATCCGCAACAGCCGTAAAACAGGACAGAAGCCTGTCATAATTTTGAAGAGTTCCTAAGTGACTGGTCATAAATGGAGGACTAGCCGTATTTGTAAGACACCAGTCTTGGAATAAGCAAAGTTAGAACATTCACTCAAATGGAACACACTACTGCAACTTTTAATCTGTTATTGGTTTTATTTTACTTCTTAAACGGACTGGATTTTACTCTCTTATGGAATCTATGGTTTTAAAATGTGACTGATCTAAAAACAATATCTTGGCAAAAGAGGAGACATTCTGGGAACGTTACAATGGGAAATACTCCGTTTTGGAAAGTTTTCTGGACAAGTTTTCTGAAACTTTGATTTGAACAGCCACATTTTTTTTTTTTTAATTTCATTGTGTTTGTATACCAAGGAACAAAAAGTAGTGAATCCGGCTTCCCCATGGACTTTGTTCGTCAGAAAGTTGCAAAAGGAGATCACTTGATGCTGGGATGCTGCGACCGTCATAAATAGATGCCAGTTGCCAAGTATCCAAATCTGGATCACGTGACCCTATGGCAGTGTTTCCCAAACTTGACAATTTTAAGGCATGAGGACTTCAACTCCCAGAATTCCACAGCCAGCAATGCTGGCTGTGGAATTCTGGGAGTTGAAGTCCACATGCCTTAAAATTGTCAAGTTTGGGAAACACTGCCCTACGGGGATGATGCAATGGCAGTAAATGTGAAAAACAGTCATAAGTCACCTTTTTTCATTGTAACTTTGAACGGTCACTAAATGAATACTTGCAAATTGAGGGTCACCTGTAGTGATGTGTCCTGGGTAGGAACACAGCTCTACATTTCCTCTACAGATTTCATTCCGTTTCCCGAAGGAGCATTTTATTTTTTTTTTAAATATTCTTTCAACGATAATGCTGCCCTGCAGAGTATGGTTGTGTTCTTGCACTTATCTAGTGATGGCAGAAGCCAAGGGACAACATTGGGTAGTATGGATTCTTAGACCAACTTTGGAAAGAGCGAAGCCCCATGTGCACATTTTATGGGTCCCTTCTGCTCTTGAATGCTGCTTTACTGGTGCAAAATACCATCAAAAAAGAACAAGCACTTCCAGACATCTCTTGGAGTCACTGTAAAAATGGTCCAGGAGAACTTAGGCACAGAACACAGATAATTGCTAAATGACTGGAGTTACACCTGCCCTTCTCACTACAAAGAAGACTGAAACAATTCTTTCTTTTACAAAATAAAGCACAATGCAGCCTCTTTATTCCTGACCACTCAGAAAGAAAAAGCCTAAGTGCTATTGGTGCTTAGCTGTGTTTCACAATGCTGGAAAGAAGGCAATTGTCATGAGCAACAGGAAGTCAGGTGTTAAGGTGACTCCCCAAAAGGTTACAAGGCTGGATTGTTAGCCTGAAGTCATTGGTCAGTAGCCAAATCTGTTCACAGCACAAACTTCTGTTTCCTAATAGTTCTGTTCCATCTTGGAGAGTGGAAGAAGAAATTGACAGACAGGTCCTTCTAACAAAGAAAGAATTGTGTAAATCCCGGCTTCCCTTAGGGATTGGATGTTCCAAGTCAACCCTGCAGAGTCGTACTTCCCAAAACTGGGTAAATTATCCAAAACTGGGGAAAAATGAGATTTTTTTTCCCCTTTACTCAAAGGGACACGAACCCATTACCCAATCATAACAGGAACATTTACACGAGGGCTTTCTGATTGGTGGTTTTGGGGTGATGAAGGAAGGAATAGATTTGAAAAGTGTTTTAGAGCTTCAGTGTTTTGAAATTTAAGCAGATTTTTCAATAGGTGTCCACCGACAAGCATGCAGTGATCTTCAACCCACTCTGACAGATTCTAGTCAAGATCTTATTCAGCATAAAGTTCTCCTTGCTGAATATCTCCACTCTGCATCTTTATTTGTGGCAAACATCTTGTTTTCCCTCTAACAATATACAGGTAGTACAGACTCCTGCCCTGGTCACCTCCCAAGTGGACAATGCTTATGTGCTCTGTCTGGGGCTTCCCTTGAAGAGTATCCAGAAGTCTAGCTGGTGCAAAATGCAGCAGGATGGGCAGTTGTGTTGGTCCCTAGAAAGGCACATGAAAACACCTCTGCTTTGCAAGCTGCATTGGATACCAGTTTGCTTCTGGATCCAATTCAGGGTGCTGGTTTTTACCTTCAAAACCCTTCGTGGTGTGGGGCTTGATCACATTAGGTTCACCCAACTAATTGGGTCTGGCAGAAGAGGCGTGGTGAGGTCCTAGATTTCATCTGGTGGAACCAAGTGGGGGGACTTTCATGCTGTGGGCCCCCACCCTGTGGAATACCACCCCCCGGAGGTGAGCTTGACCCCACCTTTGATATCCTTCAGGAGGACCTTCAAAACACGGTTGTGTCAGCAAGCTTGGGAATCACACGGAAACAGTGATCGAATGAGATGGCTGCACTGCTTTTAATACGAATCTTCTCTACTGCCCTGCCATTAATAATATTGTTTTTAATTGTACTGGCTTTAATATTTTGATGTTATGATTGTGCACCACCTAGAATCTGTCGGGTGGGTAGTTCTATAAATACAATGAATAAATAAATAGGTTTCCTCAAAGCCAACCCAACTGGTTTTTTACACATTAACTTAGAAGGGACTTGTAATTGCTTCCGCAGAAACCTTAATCCACACAATCGCTGTGTCTGCTGCTTCCTTTTCTTTCATTGCTTCATCCCTATATACCAGAATCTACCCTATACTGGTCTAATTCTCCAATGAAGGGAACTGAGGCTCATCAAAGCTTTTCTCTGGCAATAACATTTATTGCCCTGAAAAAGTGAGATGCAGGTGACCTGCAGCTTATCAAAAACTGTAGCCTCCAGACATAAAGGAAGTACAGAACATAGAATAATAGGGCTGGAAATAAGTCCGAAATGTATCTCGCCTAGTTGCATCCAAAACAGGCTTTTTGCAATTTGGAGCAGCATATTTTTATTTCTATTAATTTATTTATTTTATTAATATCTTATCATTTGTCCAAGAACTTAAAACAATATGTGTGTTTGCTTCTTCTTTCATTTCATTTCTTTCATTTTAGTTCTACAATAACAATGCTGTGAAATAGAGTGAGTTTCTGTGGCTGAGGGCAGGCTTGAATCCAGGGGCGCCCATGTGTGTGTTTCTGTGTGTGTCTCTGTGTGTGTGTGTGTGTGTGTGTGTGTTGAAAAAAATCAAGGTGTCTGCATCTGTACATTTAAAGCCCACCCACTTTTTGTAACATGGATTGCACACACGTATATAAACAAGGGATACTCTTTCCACCATCACCAGAAAATCTTCCCACTTCTAGTCCAACACCTTCACCACAATAACAAGATGTACAGGTAATCCTTGACTTACAACTGTTCGTTTAGTGACCAAAGTTACAACAATGCTGAATTCTGGGCATTGAAGTCCACCCATCTTAAAGCTACTAAGATTGGAAAATGCTGCTTTAAACGGGGGGGGAAAATATGCTTTCGTGTTGATGGAATAAAAGGCTGAAGCTCCAGCCCGTGGGACAATCATTTTCCATCCAAAATGTTTCTGAATATCAGTCTAGAGACAGAGGGATGGGAGGAGACTTCCTTGCCCCTTCCTTTTCCTTCCGGTTGTTAGGGTAAATTCAAAGCCACTCACTCCCTTCCCGTGAGTGGAAGGATGCTCAGACCTGGTATTTTTCTCTCCGGGCTGGGAAAACAGCTTCGGAAAAGATACAGATCGGAACAGAATGAGCCAAACTGCAGGAAAAGGAGGGGGGGTTGTGACAGCTCCCACCCCCCCAGCCTGTTTTCTCCCATTGCTTGTTGTGTTCTTGATTTTCATTTTAGACACTCCTCTGCCTGTTAAAAGCTAGAAAAAGAATTACTCACTGGAATTGATGGAGCGGTTGACTAGCTGATAGGGCAACACTGCCCTAATCACAGATTGTAGGTGGCTCATCATTACATTGCAACAAACCAAGTAATCAAAACAATTCACATCAGTAAAAGAGAGAGAGAGAGAGAGAGAGAGAGAGAGAGAGAGAGGGAGAGGCAAAATCACGCAGGGAACTTCCGTGATGGAGGCTGGGTTTGAACATGGCCTTCCCAAACCCTAGTTCAACACTTCCAACGTTGTATCACAGTGTGTTTTATGAAACATCTGCCCATCTTATAACCCCATTAAGTATCTCCAAATTAAAAACGTCAAGGGATAGGCCTTCAGTGAGGCAAGGGGTGAAAAGCTGTGGGTCCATCCTGCCTGTGGCTTCAATAGTCGGAGCAAAGGTGCTCCCATCTCATTCTTCTCTGCCAACCTCTTGCCAAAGCCCACAGCAATATCTCCAGGCTGGTTGCCAGCAACTGCTGGCAAGGCCAAAGGCAGTGCAGTAGTTCCTGCTTATCTTGGAGAGAGTGACTGACTTTGATTTAACTGAAGTCCCAAATTAATTAATGTGGAAAGATCACTGAGGAAGAATTAACCCCTACACAGTCAGTGGGACTGTTCAACAAATCTCCTAACAGAGGGGGGTCTCCAACTTTGTAATACAATCATCCCTAAATTGATAGAGAAATAGGTGGAATCTATGCGCCTAAATAAAATAAAGGATTACTTCAGGGGAACATTGAGGAAATGATGAATGT